GTGTATTGCAAATGAGGGAGAAAGGACTTAGAAGGCTTCTTCTGCAATTTATTAGTGTTGGGACTGATGCAAAGAGAGGCAGCTGAGTGCATTTAGAGGCAACAATTCCTAGGGTTACTTTAGGCTGGGTTGCCCAAAGTCCTAAATTTTGGATCACTGCAGCTTCAGCATACTTATTTGGAACCCTTATGCACCTCGAGATAGACTTTGAAACTGTGGATAAGCAGAAGCAAAAACTCAGTTGTACTCCCCTCCTTCCAGTCACTTTGGACTTCAGTCTAGCTCTTAATACCTTCAGAGGCCCACCCTTTGAACTCTTAATGATGAGAAACCTTCTAGTTACCTTCTCAATAGGGTGTTTGTTTATTTATTTCCCCTTTGCTTGGTCAGATGGGTCATTCAGACTCTACCCCTTCCTGAAGGCTCAACTAAAAATAAGGTGGTTGTCATAACTCATTACTTTCATAAACTGATGTCTCACATCTATGTCTCAAATGGTTTCCCTGCCCTTGTTATGTGTCAGTCCCTCTGAAATCAATGAAGCTCTCCTCCACTCAAGTTGGGAGGAGAGCATTGCCCCTCTACCTGAAAGAATCTGTTTAACAATATGTCTAGAGATTCACAAGCCTTTAAGGGTTCTATAACCCATTGAGTGATGGAGTGCTTTAAGGAAGACTGCTGTCACATAGTCTCTTTAAGAGCATGGTTGCCTTTTGTTTCAAAAGAGAAATGCTTTCCCACCCTTTTTAGAGCTGTGTGCTTTGTGCTTTGCTGCAGTTTTCACATGGTACACTTGGGGGACATTGCCTTTGCTAGCCATCCTCTGTGGTCTGATAGTCTCTCACATTCTAGTGCTTACCCTGCCTGTTTCTGAACTGACCACTTCTCATACTGTTACTTATACTATTGGTATAAAGGGTGTTGAGAATAGATTTTTTTTTTTTAAACTATTTTTTACATATTAATTTACATCTTTTTTTAAAAGTTCTTCATGGCAGTTTGGAAATTCCACCCTGTTTGTGAGGTTAGTCAGGAATTTTATATCACCCCTCCACCTCCCTTAAAAATTTTTTGTTAAATCCAGAACTAATGTTAGAATAAATTCAGACTCTCCACTGCATGAAACTACTTCACTATTGTTTGGGAAGCTTACAACTTGGCACGTTCAACTAAGCTTACACATTTATAAGTGAGTGAAGTTCTAAGGATTCTAATTTTATTTTCTGTCTCTCTCCGCTGTTTGGAGCCTTTCTTATCTTCTGTCTGGACTGGCATATTGTGGAACTTGGAATAAAAACAGATTAGCAGCTAAATTGCACATTTTAGAAGCAGAGATGCGTTTGAATATAAACTCCAACAAAGCGTTCAACAAAACATACTCCACCTCGCCTTTGTCCACATTATATAATAGTCATATTTTCTATTTTTATTGAAGAAGTTTAGTTAATCATGTTTTGAAGTTACTGTTAATATCATGTTCGATGCAATCAGTTCTTGGATTATTGAAACAAAATTAACTTTCTAGTATCTTGGTATGTACATTCGTTTAAACATAGAAGTTTCCAAGTTCTAAAAAACTAAAAAGCCTTAGTTTTTCATATGAATTGACAATTATAAATAAATTAGGAAATACTTGGTTTCATGTGAAAAGTACCTTTATTTTGTATCACGTCCATGACCTGCAGTTTTGAACCAGTCTTGGATAATCAAGCAGAGTTCATCTCTGCATTATTACTTGTAACATTCTAAGTCAGGTACAGCATTCAAATTACTTTATTTTTTTCAAAATTTTAAAAGTCCAGTACAGAAACCTGCAAACAAGTGGTTCAATAGAACCATATTTGAAGTTTACCCTTTAAATGGCACTGAACTAAGACAAGAGGTAAAAGATAAGAAAGATATCTTCTTAATAGCCAGGGCTAAAAACAAGGTTCTCTGGGATTCCAGGCTTTCTAAGGTGACAAAGTAGCTGTATCTAGCTTTAGTGGTTCATGAGATCAGGTTCGCCTGGCATATGTTGGTGTAAATGTTGTATGTGTGATAGGGATGGCCAAAAGCCAAGGGTGGTTGTGCAAGTTTTCCAAAATGAATACATTCACAATCGTCATACAGATACATACCATTGGTTTTCTTTCTGTTGTGTGGATTAATGAAAAAGCAATGACTAAACGGGTAAATGTATAAACATGGATTTTATGTAGCGTGACACTTTCAGAAAGGAGGTTTGATTATAGCCGCCTTTATGCGTGGTTATATTTAAGTCTTATGCTTTCGAGAATAATTGAATTATTGTGATCTTAGCCATTATACTAACCTGGTTCAAGAATATGCTATGATTTATACCTGTTTACTAACACTTCCCTTTGTAACAAGCCTAGAAAACAGGGGGGTACTTGATGGCAGCATCTGACAGCTGAAGGAGAGGGGTCAGGACCTTGAGGGAGTCTTCTCCAGATAGAAAGGGGAGGCAGTGGTGGTCTTCACCTGCAGTATGTATATGTTCAGAAGATGTAGTGCATCATGTCTGAGCAAGGACCAGTTCTCTTTTATTGCCTATCTGCTTCCCCGGGGATGGAGTCCTAGAGTGTAGTCTGCCATTTCTTCACCTGCTCTAGTGGTAGTTGGTGTTAGATGTGGCACTATGTGAGAGAAATAGTGTCCCCCTGCTCTAGGACCCCTCTCTGGAGTACAGATGAAGAGGCCACACTCACTCCATCCCTAGAGGTGGTTTCCTCCCCTCTGTGTACATGTTACAAATTGCACATGTCGAGCTACCTTGATACATCCAGGAGTCTCAGTGGGATTGTGGAATTCCTTTCTTCCATCTCCCCAGTTGGCCCAGAGAATGGGGAGCCAAATGCAAATGTCTCCCCTCTTCCTAAAGAGAGAGAACCTCTAGGGTTCAAGACTCTGCTGCCACTACCAAACCAGAACTTCCTTGTCTCTGTCAGGACAGTTCTCACAGTGGTGGAAAAGATAGAGCAGGGAGGAGGAGGAAATCTTGTTGGTGAAGAGCAGAATTATCAAACTTCAGAACATGTTTGCATATTTTATATTTGCAATCACAACTTCATTTCCTTTGGGATGGCCTTCCAAATGAAACCAAGCACACTGGATAAGCATATTAATCAGATGTTGTCAGTGACACTGATAGTGATGAAACAGTTGGTAACTTAAATACCAGAGTTGTTAGACTTCAGTTTACTACCCCCATTGAAATGAACTTGGGGAAATTTACACTTCTATTCTGGTGCTATTGTTGCATTTTATTCCAAGCAACACTCTTATGTTCTGAAGGTGCTTAGAAATTTCTGTTAAAGGAAGATTCACTTTCATGGAAAACCTCAAGGTTATTATGGAGGAGACCTTAAATAATTGGAATTTGAAGAATTTCCACATATTGATTTCTGATATCTTGCTGTGAGGTCATTTAAAGTGGGCATATTTAGTAAGATTTAAATAAAGAGATATGAGTTGTCTACTTATGTGCATGAAACAAAATGTTTTGTAAGTGAATTTGTAAAATGTAAAAACTAGCCTATGCACTGTGGTGGACAAAGTGCATGGGAGGTTTGAACCCTAAAAAGCAGCAGTTTTTGAGTTATGGCTTCTCAAAGTTAGATACTTTGTTAAAAATCAAACACTAACTTCTCAGAGCCCTATAACTCAAAAACAGCTGGAGCAATTTATTTCCAGCGTCCTGTAAGAAATTTCACCTGTGGCCTGAGATTTTAGCATGAGAATTTTCAGTCCCAATGCAGCTTTTTAAAAGGGGTCAGAAATAGAATGGATCTCTCAACCTCAACTATGGAGTCACTTCCCTGATGTTTATGAAAACAATAATCAAAACGCAATCAAGGGCATAAGCTGACTGCCCAGAAATGACCCAGAAGAAATTCCCCCATGAACAGCAGCATACAATTGGCAACGTGCATTTTCCACCTTCCTCTGAAACTTCAGGTACTAGCAACTGTCAGGCGCAAGACACCACACTAGAATGATATATGATCTTATCTGTAACAATTCCTGTGTCTCTATAGCTAGATGGGAGACTTATTCTTAAAGCCCAGATTCTAAGTTTTTAAAATGCTGTTGAGCTTAAGCTGCATTGTCTGCAGTGGTACTGCCTCTCTCATTGTTTTCTTTTGTGGCAGTATTTTGGTTTCTTTACCAAATACTCTATTTGTGTCAATTAGAAAATCTCTTATTGAATTGTCGAAATGACTTGCAGCATCTGCTCTGTGGCACTGAATATTTCAGATGTGCCATTCAAACTCTTCCTCTTTTTGGAGTGCTCTCAACAAACAACTGCACTGTTGACATAAAGATACGTTGAATTGTTTCATTTCTCAAATTGGTGAGTTAGAATATCAATAATAACTTGTTTCTTTGTGTGTTTATTACCTGGAAAGACCTAGCAATAGGTCAATATTTAGTCTTATCCGTGTCTTGAAGTGGAATTTTCAATTCCTCTTCTTCCATCTGCTACCAAAAAACCACTTGTGATGGATTCATTTGATCAAAACTGCTTTGCCTGTTCTTCATGTTATGATCAGAACTTTAGGAAATTTTGGCTAGCCAGAGGATTTTGCCAAATTAGCCCAAAATGTTGATTTTTGGAACTACAGCTCTTAAAATTCTAGGAGCTGCTAACATGCAAAAATCAAGGTTTTGTGTGGCATCCCTGAGACCAGTCTGTCAAGCCTTAATCATCTTTAAGAATTGATCCCTTTCCTTCAAGTAATACCAGGGTTGTCTTTACGTTAACCTTCTGGTATCAATTGTTATCAGCACTTCTTTGTCAGCACTTCCAGCTTTTGCAGAAAATCATAAAGGCTGTATACTTTTTACTATGTAAAAATGGAAAAGTTGGCCTTCATTGTAATTTATCTGCAAAAGCTGCATTAAGAAAGTACATTTTTTTTCTTTTAAATGGTCTAGCACATTAATGATTTTTTTCTTATTTTATTTTGGGATGACTTACATCTTCATATTTAAAGAAAGAGAGAGCCATGAATGCTTATCGTAAGTATGACATTTTTCTTCTTCCCCTTCAAAGCTTCCATAGGTGCTATCAAATTGTAATTTTTAAATGATTAAATTGCTTTTTCAATATTTCAGCTATTGTTAGCACTTGCTGCATTTTGTGGTGGTTTTGCTTATTGTGCAAATCTGTTCAATACAGTTTTAGCATTATGACAGAAAAAAATCATGCTTTGTGAATCAGCTTGCATCTCTAACACCATGAAAGTAAGGACCACCAGATAATGACACTGATGAAAATGGGTATAGGAAACAGTTTTATATTGTTTTTAATTTGTGTTGATGCAGTAAAAACTGAAGTAGCCATATCTGTCTTCAGATGAATTTATGCTACTTTTTTCAGTGATATGCTGTGAGCTTAAATGGGTTTTGGTATCCTAATAAAAGCCATATTTCAGTTCTGGAACAGTTTAATTCTTACCTGCCTTGAAACTGTAATTAAGTATTTCCATATGTAAATTTCACCTGAGGACCTTTCCACGCTTGGTGAGGAGGCATCTGGGTCAAAGGATATCTATAGTCTTAAATTGTTCGGAACTATCACAAGAGTATCTACTTACGTTCAAAGGAAAATCTAACTTCTTTGTCATTGTGTGTACCACTCTTTAATAGTGTCTTGTGAACAACTCCTATTCCACTCACAATTACACATACACCATCTTGCTTCCCATTCATGATTATTTAGCAAGCCTATAGCCACTACTGTCGTTTCTTGTATGGAAAGTAATAATAAGAAAGTAATGTATTTTTAGCTTTTTTTTTTAAGTGGTTTAGCAGCTGGGAACAAGTTAGACTTATATAGCAGTCTGTCTGATCACACTGTTCTATGGATCAAAGCTTGAGAGCTTCTGAGGGAATGTCTACACTACGAAATTTGGTCGATTTTATAGAAGTCATTTTTAGAAATTGATTTTATACAGTCAATTGCATATGTCCACACTAAGCGCATTAAGTCAGTGGAGTGTGTCCTCACTACCTAGCATCAACTTACGGAGCGGTGCACTGTGGGTAACTATCCCACAGTGCCTGCAGTCTCTGCCGCCCATTGGAATTCTGGGTTAAGCTCCCAATGCCTGATGGGGCAAAAACATTGTCGCGGGTGGTTTTGGGTACATGTCATCAGTCGCCCCTCCCTCCGTGAAAGCAACGGCAGACAATCATTTCGCGCCAGACACCAGGGCGATTAGAAGAGCACAGCAAGGCACACTGCGCATCAGAGAGGCTTTGAAAACCAGTTTCATGACTGGCCAGGCTTCGGTGTGACAGTTGTGTGTGTTTCTCCTTGATGCAAACCCGCCCCCTTTGTTGATTTTAATTCCCTGTAAGCCAATCATCCTCCCCCCTTCGAAATAAAGTAACTATTGTTTTGAAACCATGCATTCTTTCTTTATAATTAAAAAAAAAATTGAGATAACAGACAAGGTAGCTCGGGAGGGTTGTGGGAGGAGGGAAGGGCAAGGCCTTATTGCTTATTGTAGCCACAGTAAAAATCAAACTGTTTGAATGACAACTTTCTGTTGCTTGGGCCATCCTCTGGAGTGGAGTGGCTGGGTGTCTGGAGCTGCCTCCCCCCGTGGTCTTGGGCATCTGGGTGAGGAGGCTATGGAACATGGGGAGGAGGGTAGGTGGTTATACAATGGATGCAGCGGGGGTCTGTGCTCTTGTTGGCTTTCCTGCAGCTCCAACAGACGCTTCATCATGTCCGTTTGCTCCCCCATTAGCCTCAGCATTGCGTCCTGCTCCCGCTCTTCGTGCTCACTTAATTCTTTCCTGGCTCTGCCACTGAATGCCTCCGTGCATTAAGTGCGCCCTATAAGTGCGGGAGGACTGCATGAGCTGGGAAAACATGTCATCGCAAGTGCGTTTTTTTCCCTGCCTTCTAATCTGCGATAACCTCAGGAATGGAGATGATGGGGGAGCGTAGAAACATTCTACACTCTACGATTCTGGGGGGACTGCATGGTCACCTGTGCTGCTGAGTTCGTCACACTGACCAAACAGGAAATGAAATTCAAAAGTTCCCGGGGCTTTTCCCGTGTACCTGGCTACTGCATCAGAGTTCAAAGTGCTGTCCAGAGCGGTCACAATGGAGCACTCTGGGATAGCTCTTGGAGGCCAATACCGTTGATTTGCGTCCACACTACCCCAAATTCGACCCAGCAAAGTCAATCTTAGTGCTACTCCCCTCGCCGGGGAGGAGTACAGCAGTCGATTTTAAGAGCTCTTTAGGTCGACGGAATGGGTTGGTTGTGTGGCCGCATTCATTTTTTAAATTGACCTAACGCGGCTAACTTCGACCTAACCCCGTAGTGTAGACTAGGTCTGACTCTCTGCATATATCCTACTCCTAAACAGTTTTTGTGGTCCTCTTCTCCACAAAGTGTGTGTGAACGTGGAAGAAATACATAACTTTACCTACAAGTTAACAGGGATGTCAGACTTGTATAGCTAGTGCCTTGCTAATCACAAAGGAAGATTTGCAAATTTTGAAGTGGGACAAAACGCCAGATTTTAAGACTTAATAGCAGACACACCACTAAGACGTCATTACTTTTGTCACATGTATTAGTATATGGTCTAATATCTTATATACTATAATGATGCTTTTTTAAATAAAGGAATAAAATAAATCTTAGAGCATCCTAGAATATTTTTAATTTGTTTTGCTTAATTCACAGATTTTGTAAACTGTGGTAGGTCTCCCAGTTTTGATTGGAAATGAATGAGTTTCTACTGTAATTCTATTACAGTCCATTCTTGCAGTTATCCCAAGTTATACACTATTTGTGGCTCTTCCATTAAGAAAACGTTGTTTCCTTCTGCTTTTTTGAGTCTTTTGATTGTGATTTAAAGACCTCTGTGTCTAAACTTGCAGTACTGAAGTGTGACATACTTGTGATTTTAATTTAAGTGACTCTAGGGAAGATAAAAAATCCAAGTCATTTTAAAGGAAACCTCTGCCTGTGAAGGAGCATTTACCATAGGAAAAAGGTGAGGGTTTAAAAAAAAAAAAAAAAAACTCTTGACAACTGTTTGCTTCAGACAGTACAAAACATATCATTCTGGGATAGCACAAGTATCTGAAACTCTCCTGATTTAGTGATGTCTCCTGATGTATATCATGTGCGTTTTTCAAAATTTCCATTTTTAGTAATTGTTATATAAAACTTGAAATTAACAATGGCAACTTTAAAAACAACACTACACGTATTATATAGTATTAGAGTAGAGAGTGGTCGGTAGAGAGGATTGTGGCAGAGAAGAGTGCATCTTTGAACAAAAGGTACAAAAAGATTCTGTTAGTAGCCTACATACTCAGCACTCAGTATCCATGAAGACGCAAGCTCCTAAGAATGTATGTGTTCAGTGTAGACCCTCTACATAGACACATGTTCACATGAGTTTCCTGGCTATAATCCTGACTTATGTCAACAGACAAGAAAAGATGAGAAGCACCAGTCTTCACAAAGAATCCATCCTCTTGTTCTGTAGAGAAGAGTCTTACTGATGTGCAACGTTCAGTAAAAGGCACACAACTTTGAATGGTGAGCTTGAGCTAGTCAGCAATGACTAGATTGAGTGGATGATTTATTCTCATATCTAAGTCTTCAGAGAAGTTTGGTGTCCTCCTGGTATCTGTGTTAGTCAGAAGAATTCCAAGATATGTTCTACCTCAAAGAAGTGGAAGCTGTGGCAGTGGTGCTATGAAAGTGTTGGCTATGTCTTCCTGACTTTACCTGTCCTAGAGAATGATACAAAAAATAAAGTATGATCAACATTAATTATTTTTCCACAGTGGTCAAGAAGACACTAGTTTTCAGTGTCTGAACCTTCAGTCGAAGGGATTTGCTGAACAGTTGTTCAGGCTTGCCCTCAGACCTCAGTCTGGGTAATGAGACAAAATCGCTAATTGAGAGGCTGCTTTTCAAGCAGTTTAAACTTTACCAACTTTCAGAAATGAAATCTACAAACTGAATTTACTCCAGGATCTGGCTCGCTTCCAATAAGTAGAAAAGAATAAACCAGGTTTCCCTACATTATATGCACATATATTTCTTACAGAAGCATCACTTGTCAGTCCATATCAGCATATAAATGTCAGACCTGGACTATAAATCCTAGCTATCAGCACTGTATTCTCAATTCAGTATCCTTCCTACTTCCTGGTTATATAAAATAAGGCTTACTTTTGGACATCAGCTCTGCAGGAGAGACTTTGAACCTGTCTGTCTGTTCTTTATGCTACATCCATCATCCTCGAAGTATGATCAAAACATTTGTGCTGTTTTCACAAATATGAGATGCCTTCAAAGGATCCAGTCTTCAATCCTAAAATAAACTCAGGTTAGACCAGTTTGTATGGAAAAGGCTTGAAATGAGTGGGATGTAAGATTCAATCAAAGTCTTAGGTGAGCCAAGGATCAGAGTGTTTATTCATTATCATATAGCAAACAAAAAAGGGGGGGGAAAACACCAAAGGCTTCCATAGTGCACATCTTTAAGGTAGCATCAAGATAAAGAGCTAGATCCTAGAGCAGGGTTGTCTCAGTTTCCCAGGACAAATTGTCCTCCTTTGTCCTTTAAAAGAAATACAGTATATACTCGTTCATAAGCCGAATATTTTTGGTAAAAAAGTGACGCATCAAAGAGCGGGGGTCAGCTTATAAACAGGTCTACACCAAAATTTGATGATTTTAAACTCTATGGAATCATTGAATTGAATATCTAATACAGGGATCGGCAACCTTTGGCAGGCGGCCCGCCAGGTTAAGAACCCTGGTGGGCCTGGCCGGTTTGTTTACCTGCCGTGTCCGCAGGTTCGGCCGATCATGGCTCCCACTGGCTGCGGTTCGCTGCTCCAGGCCGCTGCTTCCTGCCGCCCCCATTGGCCTGGAGTGGTGAACCGCAGCCAGTGGGAGCCATGATTGGCCGAACCTGCGGTTGCAACAGGTAAACAAACCGGCCAGGCCCGCCAGGGTGCTTAACGGTTCCCAATCCCTGATCTAATAGGTTGCGCCACTTCCCGCAGTTCCCACTGGCTGGAAGCTGAGGGGCTCCAGGCCTGCAGATGCTCCAAGTAAACAAAACGTCCCGACCCATCAGCGGTTTACCCTGACTGGCCAGGAGCCAAAGTTTTCCAACCCCTGAAATATAGGGTCAGCTTACGAAAGGGTCATACGGTTTTTGCTATTTTTACCTATCCATTTGGGGGGGTCGGCTTATAAACGAACGAGCTAATGAACAGTTATATATGGTATATAAGGTAATTCAATAGTGTGGTGTTGGGTTATCTTTAATAGTTTTTTAATCTCACTTGTTGCACATGTTTTCTCTCCTGAGGCGTAGTGGAGATAATTGCGCTCAAAAGGAAAGATTGTTCTTGACTAGTTTGTCAAGTTTGGGTTGACTAATATGACCATAAAATATTGAAGGGTTTCTTTAAAGAAACCTAAGTTGGATCTCAGGTGATGAGTGATACTGGATGAAAGGACAACTTGAAATACAGTATGTTCCCTTTCTAAATCTTTTTTTAGTTTTGTTATAACTTAGCATCTTAGAAATATTTTTGGAACTTGGGACTGTATGTTTTATGATTTCGCCCAGAAACCATGATTACCAAGTCTGATTCCCATTTCATTGAGAGATGGTTTAGGGGTGTGGTGGACTCAGCCAAATGGGAGACATGATTATTCTAAGAAGAAATCTCGTTAAAACATTTTTTCCTTTTGTTAAATTTAAACACTAGCACAGTGTCTTGAAATGGACAACAAATTTACACAAGTTCGATATTGAAATCCACTATAATCTATTCTTGAACTACTTCCCTGGTACAGATACCAGAGCGAACCAGTACTGCTCACAGCACAGGGTTCCCTTAATTTCATTAGTGTGCTATAAGCCTATGGTAACAAAAAAATTAATATGGCATTTTACATCAGTTTTAAGGCAGACACTTGACCCAGAAGCTTTATAGTCTAGGTTGAACTTTTAGTATTTTCAGTAAAGGGGTATTTTAATACCGTATATTGAACTTCACCAGATACTCTTCTTAGGTTTTTTTTTTTTTTTTTAAATGTGTGCCATAAATTAGCTTTATACTGGGTATTTATAAGGGGACATCTGAGCATGTGGAGGACTGGGGAGGGGCACAGGAAGGGGCACAGGAAGGGGGAAAGTAACTCTGCAAAACTAGCACTGCCAAGCATGAAAAATATCTGAAAAGGCCCTGTAAGGGCCTGATTGTGTAATCAGATCTATGGGATAGACTTGGAACCCGCATGGGGTTTCCCATGAGTACAAGGGGTCTCCTCCATCATGGATGCAATTTCAGGACCTAACTGCTTCTGGGCTTTGATCCCAGTTGTGGCTTTTCAGAGCTACCGTAACAAATATTAAATAATGAAAATAACTGGAATAGGAGTAACACAGATTAATGAATTTTTGTAGTTAAACTTTCAAAGAAATTTTTTAGTTAATATTTCTGTGATCCATACTTGATGTTTTGCCTGACAGGGGAAGTAATGAAATTTTTAGGTGAACACTTTTAAAAAAAAAATTGTTAATAAAAATAGGAATTGAAAAGATACAAAAGCAAAAGATCAAATACCAAGATGGAACAATATTGTTAGTGAGGTTAAATTGAAAACATTAGGTACAGAGAATAAAGGGAGACATCGCTTTAAATCTATTTTATTTTCTGTGTCTGTTCTGCTATGCGGAGAAAGACAAATAACTGTCAAAATAATGTTATCTTAGGTGCTCCTGCTCCAGTGATATATGAAACACAGAGACCAGGTAAGAAAATTGAATATAAATGAATAAATTCAACATGAGTTACACCAGGGGTTCTCAACCTTTTTCTTTCTGAGGTCCTCCCAACGTGCTATAAAAACTGCACAGCCCACGGTGCCACAAGTGGTTTTCTGCATATAAAAACCAGGGCCAGCGTGTGTGTAGGGTAGCAAGCAGGGCAATTACCCGAGGCTCCATGCCACAGGGGATCCCACGAAGCTAAGTTGCTCAGGCTTCAGCTTCAGCCCTGGGCTTCAGCCCCAGATGGTTGGTTTTTGTCTTTCTGCACTGGGCCCCAGCAAGTCAAATGCTGGCCCTGCTTGGTGGACCCCCTGAAACCTGCCTGCAGCCCCCCAGGAGGCCCTGGATGGACCACGGTAGAGAACCATTGAGTTACACTTCTAGAAAACAAAATTTTTGTTTCAATGGTCAGAGTCCAAAGTTCATGAAGATAGTCTTAAGTTTTAGGAAGAGACAACTCCACTTGTGCACTATCAAACATTTTAACCATCAGTGCTTCATGCAATGGCTAACTTCTTCAGTTTAAGAATCTCTGAAAAACATAGCAAAATATGAGACTTCTGATTGAAGGAAACCTTGTCAAATCTGGGACATTCTTGCAACCTGTGATACAGAGCATGACTTGTAGCTCAAGCTATTGTTTGAATCCTCCAGCAGATGTGTGCAAGTTTGGTAAAACTTTCTCTTACCTGAGCCTGGATTTTGTTTCCGTTGGCACAGATAATTCATCCCTGTAATGGAGTTAAGAAGATTTTTTTTTTTAAATCCCATTTTCTGTTTACTTAGCTTAATCATGACTGTTTTTCTCTTCCACTCTATGAATAAAAACTAGGTGTGAGATCTACTAGTTCTAAAATCTCGAAGGACATAGTGATTGGAAACACTCAGTTCAATTCACCAATTACCAGTAATACTTCCTTTTGTGTAATAAATCAGTTTTTAAAGGCAATATGTCTTTTGATGAACTTTTTTTCTCATATATCCAGCACTTTCAAAGGTAGTAATATTTAATAAAATTTTTGCTTTTGTGCATTTTTAACTGAATTTGAATTTCCTTCCAAATAGAGCTTGACACAGATCACAAGTAAAAAAGTTAATCTATTAAAAAAGAAACGCATCATTCCCTATTTTCTAACATAATAAAAAATGTAAAAATTGAATCTGAATAAATGTAAATTAGTCTATGTAACTGCTTAAATAAAGGTTTATAAATATACTGTATTCTCCTGGCTAGCAAAAAGAAGCACCAAATTTAACATAAAAGCTGTATTTAGTTGCAAATCAACATGTTTTAATGGTTACCAATCAAACTAAAAAGTACAAATGAAAAACATGATTGAAATTGCTGATTTAAATCATGATTAAAATTGTTGATATAAATAAATCCACCCTGTGGATGCCTGATTCACCAATTGGCTCACTGTAACCCCATAAAATTAACAAAAACTGGATTTTGTAGTAATGCTGAGTAAATCTAACTATGGAAATTGCCTCTTTTAAGAAGGTGCATAATGTCAGCAAAGAAGAGAAAATATTTTAAATGTGGCTTTGGTACCTTTTGCTTTTTAATATTTTTTCATTGTGGCATGTACTTGCATCATGCAGTTACTCAGATGTAAATCTGTAAAATAAGCAAACAAAACCTTAGTCTAGTGATAGCACATTGTGTTGATTTTAGGAGGATCAGTTTGAATCCTGATCTTAATCTCTGTCCAGCAGAACCTGAATTGTACTACTGGAGCATTCTTTTTTGTTCAAGTATTATCCTATATGTTTTTTATTACGCAAGGATGTTTAATACAGACATCTTCCTAAAATGGTTGCATATGTAAGTACTGCTTGAGGATATTTTCTCAGACCAACGTATCCAGGGCAGAGTAACTGTTGGATTATTTTGATCCTTCCCTGAGCAGTTTTATGAATCCTAAATGAAATTAGTGTGAAAAATCTTGAAAAATACTAAGGCCTTCCTTTGCTAGGAATTGGGATTCTATCCCGAACATCTTAGCTTGATGAAATTTAAATCTAAACTTCTTAAAAGCCCTTCACAAAATTCTTCAGCCAAGTCAAAGCACTTGTAAATGCCAACATGTCTGTTAACTTTGCCTGCAAATCATTAACTTGGATGTGTCAGTTACCTATATTGAACTCCCAGTTTTTCAGGCACAAAATGGGATGCCAGGATAAGTCTGGACGATTAATACAAACTATTCTGATTTTTTTATAGACTTAATACTGTGTATTTGAACACTGCTAATAAGGGAAATCAGTTTCCATTGTAAATTAATATTTTTCAGTATTTCATAACTAAAATTCACTCTGACCATTCAAAAACCATGGCTAGCAACTCATTTTGTCAGTTAAGTCATATGAAACTATGTGCAAAATGCCCAGTATCTTATGGTAATTGTAATTTGTCTAATATGTATTTCTATTTTGTTTACATTAGTTAAGCGGAAGCTTACAAAGGACATAACCTGTCTGAAAGATTTTATGAAAGATCCCAAAAGAGAGGAACCTCTAGTTGGTATGTTGTGTTTGAGTCAAACAACTTCCCTTTACTTGAACTTTAATCACCAGTGTAAGTCAAGTAATATTTTAGATATTGTTTATCACTTTTATATTATCAATTTAATGCTGTTTGGAAGATCTCCAATAGCAAATATTTTATTACTCCTTTCATGAGTCTGACCTTTCACTCTGAAGATGGGACCTACTCTGGGAGGCTGGTTGATTATTTGGCATCTCATCCCTGTAGTACTCCATCTCTAGAGGGACACATTGAACTCCACATGCCATTGTTCTTTCTGTGGTCCTGCAGGAAAAAAGCCAGACATACGTTTCTTTCTGATGGCCCAGGATTTTCTGTATGATTGTTTACCCTCATGATGTTCCTGAGAATATTAAATCTACTGGTATATACTAAAGTTTTTCTCTACTTGATGGTTTTTCCTAGACAGAGCTTAGCTTCATCAGTTTATCATTTCCTACTAGCCAATGTCTTCCATGATCCTAGCAAGTGCTAGCATCTTTGAGGAGTACATTGAATTGAGTAATAGGGGCTCTGTTGTAAGCAGTAGGTTTCCTCTGTTTGGATCATTATTTCTCCACAGAAGGTCTGCTCTTAACTGATTTAATAGAATTCTTGAGCTGTGCAAAATATGTGTTACCCGCGTTGTCAGTCCTGCAAAAACAACCACTATCCCTGGTGGCTTACTGCTGCCTTATATGGTATTGGTATAGAATAAATGTTCAGCGTTGGGGTTAAATTGAGCTACTGTTGTAAACAGTGGGATTGAGATATCATTTCCTCTCACCTACCTCTAAATCCAGCTACTCTGGGGACAGTTTCAGGGAATGCAAGAATTCAGGTTACCTGTACAACCTTAATTCATCCCACTTGTACGTATGCATTATCGTAGTCTTGAACTATGATGATATGCTATTTTTTTACTTATGACCACTGCCTCATTATCTGCATGGGATGGATGGTGCTCGTTAAGTGAGCAGCTTCTTGGTATTTTGCTTTATCCTCTTGTTCAATATGGGGCCTAGACCATTATTTACTGCACATTCACTATTTCAATCCGTGCTGTGAAAACAGAATTATTTCCTCAAATCTTTTCTATAGCACTCATCTGAGTGCTTCACAAACCATTTATTTTCACTGTGTAGGATGTATTATTATCATCCCCATTTTATAGATGTGGAGCAAAAACACAGAGAAATTAAGGTCCAAAGTGTCCACTAATTTTGGGTGCCCAATTTGAGACACTTAGGGTTGTTGTTGTTTTTTTTCTGAGTACTTAGCATTATATATCACTGTACAGGTTCTAAGCATAGTTCCCATTCACTTCAGTTGCAACTGTGAGTGCTCAGATCTTCTGCAAATCAGAACCCAGGGTTTCAAAATGAGGTAGAGAAATAACTGACCACGTGAGGGCAGTTTGGTTTAAGTGACCTGCGGAGCATCACATAGGAATTTGTGGTAGAGGCAGGGATAGAATCCAATTCTCCAGGATGGTGTTCCAATTCCTTTACCATGAGATCTTTCCCTTCCTGCGATTTCCTGCCTCATTTAGTACACACCTCCCAGGATCCTACAAACAAGAGTCTTCGGGTCTACACAATGCTGATACATCCCCAGAACCGTGGTCCATCCTATATATTGAATGATGTACGGATCCTGTGGGAAAAATAGTATGGGAGGTCATGTAATTAAAGACTGCAGAGACATGCATAAAGGGGCTGAATTAAGGTTTCCTGTGCAATCTTAATTCTTGCATTTCCTAACTTTCAGTGCTTGACCTTTTTATTCTTTTATGATATGTGCTTGTGTGCACCCTCTGGTTTTTTTTCTTCTGGTTGGATATTCTTAAGATTCTAGGTATATGAAGTACTGTGATCCTGCTGTGACAGGCAGTCTACCAAGAACAGAACTTTTACTCAGAGAAAAGTCTGTACTGGTGAAGAGAGAAACTTGAACTAACAAATATTACCAGTAAGAAATCTAATCCTTAATGGGCGATTGTGAGGAAAGGTAGGAAATAGCTAAAATGGATCAGTATCTTTTATCATTGATTCATCATTGGTTGTCCCTACACAGCTGAAATAAGAATATATTTATTCATAATTGCCTGTGTAAAGAAATGTAAGTACTTGTAACTTTTGATTTTATAGGTTTAGAACATGTGGTCGAAATCAGATTTGAAGGGAGGAGAGAGCCACATTATGAATGCAAACTGTGTGAATTTAACACGGAGATGGCACCTATGATAGAACATCTCAGTGGCTATAAACACAGAAGAGCATATATTGTAAGTAAAATTTTATGCATTTGAGTCAGTGCTTAAATACTCTATTACACCATTTATTAATTTTCTTTTGTATAAATAGTTGTTTATATTGCGATAGCTCCTAGGGGCCTCATTATGAACTAATAATAATATGTGACTAATACGAAGGAATCCAAAGCATAGATGAATTGAGAAGATATGGCAACATTTTTACTTTTGTTATTTAGACAGGTGGTGATTAGGGTTTGCTCAGGAGGTTGCTAATGAGATAGGGAGCATTTTATGTCCAGCTACACTAATGACCAAAAGTCATTGCCATCTAAAGGTGACTGAAGTGAACAGCCGGTCATCTGCTCAGTAACTAGTTAAGGTATGGTCACTAAGAATCTTGGGCAACTCCCCGTATATCCGGACTTGTGGTTTTCTGCACCCCATCAGTTGCGATTGAATATGTTATGGCACAGATTGTATTCAGATGATTGGCGAATGGTGATGAAGCCCATTTGTTGTTCCTGATTCAGTTAGATCTCTTGACTTCTCTTAATACAATAGACTTGTCATTTTAGCAGGTCAGATTGCCAAGAGTAATCAGTAAATCTGTGAACTAAACTGGCTTCTGGGTGTAAGTGTGTTAATTTATGATTTTTAAAGCCTTAAGTGATATAGCACTCAGTTGTTGTTTTTAAAACAACCTCTTCTCTATTGCTTGAATATGGTCTTGCTCTTAGTTCCTAGTGTAAGTCTTATACACCAATGACTCTTGTAGTGATTTGGGGCTGACAGGACTATCCAATTGTGAGCTCAGCTGTAAAGAACGTGGATAAACATTCATAAAATAATCCAATAATTTATAACAAATTTAGTGGGTAAAGGAGACCAAAGATTGGATTAGTCTTAAAAAGTCTGCTGATATAACACAAAGACTGTAGATCATGTCTGGTAAACAAGAGGAGTGTGGGACTGGAAATTAATGGACCAAAATTGGCGTATCGGAAACTATATTCAATAGATAGTCTAATGAGGGGATGGGTTAATCTGTCCATCACGTCCTTTTGAGGTCCTTTTTAAAAAAACAAAACAAAAGACTCTCTTAGGGGAGGATCAAATTAACATTAGATGGCTGGAGAACCCATGGCCTGAATGGATCAATCTATGTGATTGTGATTGTTACCTCCAGTATCTCCTGGGTTGCCCAGGTCCACTGTGATACCATTGGACTGTCACAGTCCTGATTCTGATCAATGTTCTGACCAGACTGGACCAGAGAGAGGGATCTAGATGACTTGTCACCTCCAACAGCTAAATCCCCAGCACTGCCTCCCTGGTGTGTGAGGCTTGGGTTCCTACTGTCACCCATTCCCATGTGTGTCATTTTCCTTTTCCCCCCTATCTTTTTCCCCCCATTTGTTACTTTTTGCGTTTTGTCTAAAAAGAGTCTGGCTTAGCTGGCTAAGCCAACTCCACCTTTTGCAGTACTGTTATGAGCCCAGGACCAGGAGAGACAGCTATAAGCAAAACCCTAAACAACCCGATGCTGGCACAAGTTTCAGAATGGCTGATAAGACTGTGTTGGCCCTGTGTTTCTCTAGTAGTGAGATTTGCAAGTAAGAATCAACACCAAAGACAGAAGCTGCATTTTCTACCTTTGTATTATTTTCTTTCCTCTTTTATGTGTGCTTGTCTTATTTTGTCTTCAAGGAAATGGCATCAGACTTTAAGAACAACAGCAGCTCCAACACATCTCAACTGCTTTTTCTTCTCCCTGCACCTCTTCCCCCATCTTTAATACCCAGGGTGGTTCATAGAAAAACTTTCTACGGTTACAGTGAAGAGGAGTAAGGGATACTGTTAAAATGAAAGCCTTAATACGCTACATTTCAAACTTTTCTTTACCATATCTTCGATAAAGGTTGAAGAATTTTTAGTAGTGTTTGCCATGGGACTAAGTAGTCTGAGGTCTCTCTACTAAAACTCCTGAAGCATGTCACAACAACTCCATCAGAGCCCAAGTCTGGTGGCCTTTAGGACATTGTACAAAGCATGTTTCTTTTGTCAAGTGTCTTACCTGAGTTCTGTATTGTGTTAAAATTCTGTAGTGATGAAAACTAATAAAAATTTATCATATTAAATCACAATTAGTTATATTCTGCTAGAGGAAATGTAGGACCATAATGTCTAAAATCTTGCTGTTTAGTTTTCTCCACAGGTATTGTAAAATTTTCCAAAAAGCGTGACTCGTCAGATTTAGTATTGAAATGATCTCAAACCTTTTTTCATTGACAGTCTAAAGAATTTCCAGATAAAATGAAGAAAAACACACCAGGTGTGAAAGAGGACAAAGTCTCATTTCTCAGACGGATAGCAAGAGAGATAGAAAAGGCTGAAGGTTTAAAAATGTATAAGGTAAATTGGATAAGTTTAAACTAGCAACTAAATTTGTTCTTTGGTTCTATATCTAGGTTCTGGCAAACTAGACACTAGGCCCTATTAAATTTTTAATTTTAAAAAGTAATAAACTCTGTTTAATTTTACAGAGTGCTTTCAGAAAGCATACATCTTCCTGAGTCAATATTTCACTTAATGATGGTCAAAAAATCAGGAGGATTCCTTAAAATTTCACCAAAACCTTTTTGCTGTTTTCACAGAATTTAGAACTTTTAGAATCAGAAATTGTCCAGCCAGTCCTGTTTCAGTGATAAATGTTAGGTAAATTACATTAAGATTCATAGTGGCAAAGGGTTGAAATTGCTTATGTTTTAGAACCGTAGGACCTTAGGAAATTCTTGCATCTCAAACTTGATTCTTTCAGAAAACAAGTGCTAATTTGTAAGGTTGCCTGGTAATGTTTAGCATTTGTTAAATTTAAAATTATGTGGTGCAATAGGTAGTGGTAAATAAAGGTATAGTGAGACGGGTTCTCTGGGGGCCAAGTTTCTGCTGGGCATGGCAGAGGAGTTGGACTGTGGGGAAACAACCAATATTAAGTGATATGTAAGCGAAGAAGTCTTATCTAAACAAGCCTGTTTTTGTTTCCTAGACTGAAGGTTATACAAGACCCAGTATATCTTGTAAGTTTGTGAAATTACGTGAATATAATTTTAATATATTTAAAATTTCAATAAATGAATATTTGAACCTAACTTGAGATTACAGATAGCCACAAAAGTTAGTGATTACCTAAAACGTGTAAAATTTTAGAGCAATAGCTTTGGTATGCATATAACTTCCTATTTTTAAATCCTGTTTTAACTAGATGTGCAAAAAATGATCTTGTTATATTTTTCACATTTCTGAAACATTTCAAAAATAGTGAAAATGCATCTGGCAGTATTGAAGATACGCAGTGTTGCTGTATGTGTGTTGGTCCCAGGATATTAGACAAGGTGGGTGAGGTAATATTTTTTTATTGAATCAACTTCTGTTGGTGAAAGAGACAAGCTTTTTAGTTACACGGAACTCTTCTTCAGGTCTGGGAAATGTAGTCAGTGTGTCACAGCTAAATACAAGGTGGAACAGATTGTTTAGCACAGGTGTAGGCAACCTATGGCATGCGTGCCGAAGGCGGCACGCAAGCTGATTTTCAGTGGCACTCATACTGCCCAGGTCCTGGCCACCGGTCCGGGGGCTCTGCATTTTAATTTAATTTTAAATGAAGCTTCTTAAACATTTTTAAAACTTTATTTACTTTACATACAACAATAGTTTAGTTATATATTATAGACTTATAGAAAGAGACCTTCTAAAAACGTTAAAATGTATTACTGGCATGCGAAACCTTAAATTAGAGGGAATAAATGAAAACTCGGCACACCACTTCTGAAAGGTTGCCGACCCCTTGTTTAGCATAAGTAGCTAACACGTATCTAAGATATAATGTGAACTATGTGTTAGCTACTTATGCTAAACAATCTGTTTCATCTTGTATTTAGCTGTGACACTGAGTACATTTCCCAGACCTGAAGAGCTCTATGTAAAGTTGAAAGCTTGTCTTTTTTATCAACAGAACTTGGTTCAATAAAAAATATTACCTCACCCATCTTGTCTCTACTATTTACTACTACTCATTAACTCAACTGAAAAATGTATTTCAATGAAAAATGCAGTATTATATGTCATTGTTTTGGAATAAGTTGATAAACATTTCTCCTTCCTGATTGAACTATGGCTATGTCTACACCACACACTGCTGGCGGTGGTGTGTAGGATGTGTAGCTATATGTTGCAGCGAAACGCCAGCTGTGCAGTGTATAGCTGTACCTGTAAGTGAGAGGCCCTGGCAGAGTGGAGGCAGTAGGAAAAGACTGAGCCTTTTCCCACTACTGGAGCTCTTCGTTGCTGCTGGAGTCTTTCCCTGAAGCGGGGGAGGCTCTAGCAAGGGGGAGGCAACGTGACTCTACGCTGTTAAAAATAGCAGTGTAGACAGGGAGGCACAGCTTGGGCAAGTAGACTGCCGTGTGGGGCATGTACTTGGATTCATACCCCTGTCCTTCAGGCATGTCTTTACTTGCCTCACTATTTACACTGCTATTTATACCAGGGCAAGGGGGCCTACCTGGTTATGTACTCTACAGTCTGTTGAAAGAAGCTGAGTGCCCTCCACTAGAAAAACTATGGGTTCTTTATAGAACCTCTGAACTGGCTTTAGTATGCTAACAGTCCGCTGACCCATTAAAATGTCAGTGTAGCTGAATATTGCAAATACTATATCTTTAAAATTAGCTTAGTAATGAAAAAGGTCAGATATAAATATTTGATCCAAATACATTTATATAATCTGGGACATCTTGGTGTGACACAATCTGAATGATGCCAATTGGGGGCAGACAGTACCTGATACATTTTAATAGTCTAATACAGGGGTGGGCAAACTACAGCCAGCCCGCAGGATTGCCCCCCGTGGCGCTGCAGGCCCCATGCCAATCTCAGAAGCGGCCAGCACCACTTCCCTGCAGCCCCAGGGCGGGGAGGGGGGCAGAGGACTCTGTGCGTTGCCCTTGCCTCCAGGTACCACCTCCTGCAGCTCCCATTGGCCGGGAACGGGCCCTCCCCCCCAGTGCGCACCGCTGCCACCCTGGAGCCGCTTTAGGTAAGCAGCGCCAGGCTGGAGCCCGAACCCTGCCCCCCAACTCCCTGCCCTAAGCCCCCTGCCTGCACCCTCACACCCCTCCTGCACCCCAACCCCCTGCCCTGAGCCCCCTCATACACCCTGCACCCCTCCTCTGCCCCAATCCCTTGCCCTGAGCCCCTGCCTGCACACTGCACCCCCTCCCACACCCCACACTCCCTCACGCACCCCAACCCTCTGCCCGGGCCCTGCATACAATTTCCCCACCCAGATGTGGCCCTCGGCCCAAAAAGTTTGCCCACCCCTGGTCTAATAAGAAGATAAGAGGGAAGGTGAATTTGGCTGATGGTGACAAAATGTAATCAGATCCATTGGCATAATGAACAGGGCCAGTGCTGAAGAGTTCTGTACTTAACTGAGCTCAGAGTGTAAATAAATATTTAATTTATATTATAATCCGTTTGCAATGATACTATAATACACATGTGCTCTTGCTGACCGCATCCAATTTTTTGTTTCTAGCCTCGTCATCAAAGAAAAAATCAAGGTGAGGAAACCTCCAGTAAACTCCCACATGAATAGATTTATTACCATTACATCACCATACATTTGAAATGATTAAGTGGCTACTTATTTTGTTTATCTCAGACCATTGCAACTTGTCTTTAGAAAAAAAATCCTACATTTTTTTATTTGTTGTCTTTGTTCAGTTTTTCCTCTCGTACAAAACTTTGTTGATTATCAGTGAGTTATACATATAAGATTAAAATAACAATGACTTTCTGATGTATTGCACTTGCTGAGTCATTTAATGGCAGCATGATGTATTTATATATAGAGAAACTTCAGATCATATCCCAAAATGATCCATCATACCCAGGGCTGGCATTGGTTGAGAATGTTGCAGAGGTGGGGCACAGTCAAAGGAGATGACCAAGATAATTAAGGCATTTTTCTTATCAAGGAGCTGATGTTCTGTGAAGGAGCTTTGTTACTATTTATGTCTGTATAGTAGAAAAATAATCGCGAATAATCACACTGTTAAAACAATAGAATACTAATTGAAATGTATTAAATATTTTGCATGTTTTTCTACATTTTCAAATATATTGATTTAAATTACAACACAGAATACAAAGTGTACAGTACTCACTTTATATTATTTTTATTACAAATATTTGCACTGTAAAAATAAGAAATAGTATTTTTCAATTCACCTCATACAAGTACCATAGTGCAATCTCTTTATTGTGAAAGTGCAATTTACAAATGTAGATTTTTTTTTTTTTTTTTTTTTTTTTTGGTTACATATCTCCACTCAAACACAAAACAATGTAAAACTTTAGAGCCTGCAAGTCCAAACATACGAATCTTTAGCGCATCTGGCACATAAATATCTTGCCTACTCTCACTTTCAGGTGACATTTTGTAAACAAGAAGCATGCACCATTATCTCCTGCAAATGTAAACAAGCTTGTTTGTCTGACCAAGTGGCTGAACAAGAAGTAGGACTGAGTTGACATGTAGACTCCAAAGTTTTACATTGTTTTATTTTTGAACGCAGTTAGTTTTTTGTACATAATTCTACATTTGTAAGTTCAATTTTCATGATAGAGATTGCACTACAGTACTTGTATTAAGTGAATTGAAAAATACCATTTCTTTTATTTTTACAGTGCAAATATTTATAATAAAAAATGAATATAAAGTGAGCACTGTACACTTTGTATTCTGTTTTGTAACTGAAATAAATATATTTGAAAATGTGGAGAACATCCAACAATAGTTACATAAATAGTATTCTATTTAACAGCGCGATTAATCACGATTAATTTTTTTAATCTCTTCACAGCCCTAGTAGAAAGTGTTCTTGGACTCTTCTGGTGGCCTTATTGTGGTCCTATATCCCAGCATTGAATGTGGTTCTACAGATGTGCCATATGGTGGGAGGTCTTGATTAATAATTGAGGTCACTTGGGAAGTTGAAATCTGTGCGCAGGATGGCTTATATAAAATTCTAAATCCTTTTTAAAATAGCCTTTATGCTGTTGCTTTAACAACTGAACTTTCTTCTTTTTATTCTAGGTGGGAAGAGGATTACAAGCCTGAGGTAAGTGTTAGTAATTTTGAAATGTGTCGTATGATAGTTATGTTTCATTGTTCTTGTTTTCTGAATGTCTACCCGTGTTTTGACTCAGTTTCCTATTTTATTGATATTGTATTCCACTTTATACAATAAAGTGAAATAACCTACCATAACAAATCTTCATGTTGGTAAGAGATGCTTACCACTCTTTGGTTAATCAATTTTGTGGAGGAAGCTTTGTCTCTGTACTCCACGCCGAAAGTCAGTCAGTCTGCTTCCTCGCTATTCCCTCCTTCTTTAAATCAAAGATCTTCTATACTCAATAACTTGTTAAATCTTGGGTTAGCAAAAGGACAATAAAAAAAATCCACAGATTTTTCTCAAAGATGTACCCTAGCACAATGTTGTCTTGGTTCATGACCGTGGCTCCTAGTTGCTACAATAATACAAATAATTAATATATATTGATTATGCCTTTAGTAGCTGCCCTGAAAAGCACTAGGCACCAACAGCTTTGTCAGCTTTATCTTGATCTTAATATCAAAACTTTGACACACCATATGCTATAAATCAGTGGTTCTCAACCTTTCCAGACTACTGTACCCCTTTCAGGAGTCTAAGTTGTCTTGAGTACTCCAAGTTTCAGCTCACTTAAAAACTGCTTGCTTACAAAATCAGATATAAAAATACAAAAGTGTCACAACACACTGAGAAATTGCTTACTCTCTGGTTTTGTGTGTATGAAATTTTAGTTTGTACTGACTTTGCTAGGCTTTTTATGTAGCCTGTTGTAAAACTGGGCAAATATCTAGATGAGTTGATGTATCCCCTGGAAGACCTCTGCCTACACCCATGGGTATGTGTGCATCTATTTGAGAACCATTGCTGTAAGAACTAGGATTCTTCTGGAATTTGGCACTGTGTGTGGTCTCAGGCCAACCAGTTTTCTTGATACTTTTGGCTCTTAGTTGTGGCCTATTTCATTGGCATGGATATCTGCTGGTGCCATGAGAGCTATCAAAGCACAGTGTCTCATCAGGGAAGAAATTGGCTCCCAGAGGAAGATATTCACATGCTATAAGAAATTCCACACTTGAGTATGACATCTTCCCTCTTCATAATGGCTTGTCATCAGTTGTTAAGCTTTGGATTCACCACTAGACTTCTCTTCAGTTGCAGCTTTCTTGTACATTTAAAAAACTGATCTAGTTAAACCTATGCAAACTAGAGTTGCCAGGCGCCTGGTCAAAAAGGGACCCTGGTGGCTCCTGTCAGCAACACTGACTAGGCCATTAAAAATCCAGTCGGTGGTGCAGCGGGGCTAAGGCAGGTTCACTTTAAAATGGTAAATCTACTAAGTGCTGATAGTACTTGGCTGGATTTTCCCTCCCCCCCCTTTGGAGTATTTAATCATCTAGTTAAAGGCAGAAATCGTTTGCCTAAACTGAGAAATAATTCCAGTAATGAGATATGCAAAACACACACACACACACACACACACACACACACACACACACACACACACGTATGTATGTATGTATATACACTTTTCATTCCTAAAAGATTCCCAGGCTCAGTGTAGCTCTTGGAAGCGGCTGGCATGTCCCTGCGGCCCCTATGCACAGGAGCAGCCACGGAGGCTCTGCACGCTGTCCCCACCCCAAGCACCGGCTCCACAGCTCCCATTGGCCTACACCACGGCCAATGGGAGCTGTGGGGGCAGTGCCTGCGGGCTAAGGCAGCGCACGGAGCCTCCGTGGGCGCCCCTGCGCCTAGAAGCCAGAGGACATGTCACCGCTTCCGGGAACCGCCTCAGGTAAGCGCTGTCCAGACCCTGCACCACACCCTGAACCTCCTCCACCAGCCCTGAGCCCCCTCCCGCACCCCAACTCCCTCCCGGAGCCCACACCCTCCTGCACACCAACTGCCTGCCCTAGCCCTGAGCCCCCTGCTGCACTCCAAACCCCTCATCCCCCCTCCCCCCCCCCCGCGCCCGCCCCCTCAGCCGGAGTCCTTATCCCCCCCCCCCCCCATACCTCAACCTCCTGGCCCCACCCTGGAGCCCACACGCCGTCCCAAGCCCCAGCCGAGAGCCCCCCTCCACACTCTGAACCCCTCATCCTTGGCCCCACCCCAGAGCCTGTACCCCCAGACGGAGCCCTCACCCCCAAACCTTTCATTATTTACGCTTAGTACCAATGTGGACACAAGAACAAATGCATATAAACTGGACATTAGGAAGTTTAGACTTGAAATTAGACGAAGGTTTCTAACCATTAGAGGAGTGAAGTTCTGGAACAGCCTTCCAAGGGGAGTAGTGGGGGCAAAAGACATATCTGGCTTCAAGACTCAGCTTGATAAGTTTTTATGGAGGGGATGGTATGATGGGATAGCCTAATTTTGGCAATTAATTCATCTTTGATTATTAGCAGGTAAATATGCCCAATAGTCTGTGATGGGATGTTAGATGGGGTGGGATCTGAGTTACTACAGAGAATTCCTTCCTGGGTGCTGGCTGGTGAGTCTTGCCCACATGTTCAGGGTTTAACTGATCGCCATATTTGGGGTTGGGAAGGAATTTTCCTCCAGGGCAGATTGGCAGAGGCCCTGAAGGTTTTTTGCCTTCCTCTGCAGCGTGGGGCACAGGTCACTTGCTGGAGGATTCTCTGCACCTTGAGGTCTTTAAACCACGATTTGAGGACTTCAGTGATTCAGGCATAGGTTAGAGGTTTGTTACAGGAGTGGGTGGGTGAGATTCTGTGGCCTGCATTGTGCAGGAGGTCAGACTAGATGATCATAATGATCCCTTCTGACCTTAAAGTCTATGAGTCTATGAATCTCTGGCTCACCCGCAGCACCCGCACCCCAACCCTCTGCCCCATCCCAGTGAAAATGAGCAAGTGAGCTAGGGTGGGTGAGTGCGAGCAATGGAGGGGGCGGGGGGATGGCGTGAGTGGGGGAGGGGCCTTTAGAGAAGGGGTGTGGTGGGGGCGGGGCCTCAGGGAAGAGGATGGGGCAAGGGTGTTCTGTTTCCTGCAATCAGAAAGTTGGCAACCCTAATGCAAACTCTTATGTGGAAACATTTATATTGTTTTAAAACAGTCTTCTATAACTTTATCTTGCTTTGGTATATGTACCTTTACTTAAACTTGTGCAATTGGATGTTCGGAGTAGAGCCCAGGAGTCCTAATTCATCCACTGACCATGCACGAGCCTTTCAACCTCACTTTCTGCATATAAAATTGGCATAATTACTTCTATCCCTCACAGGTGTTGATTTTTATTTTATTTTTTTGTAAGGTGCTTTGATTATCCTCGTATGAAATATGTTAAGGGCAAAGTAAATTCTATTAGCATTTCACCTTAAGAATATCAGCTTATCATTGAAATAAGCTGTAACATTTGAAATAAAATGTTAACTATTTAACAGTAAAAGACCTGTTCTCTTATGGTCAACATGAGAACAGAAAGGTAATTGCGGAAAGTGAAGAGGTTTTTCAGGAACCCTATATCTTAGGAGCTAAAGTCTGTCTTAATTTTGAAACTTACGTAGCCCAAAATGGAAATATTGCAGTTGTTACTGTGTATACCAGCAATAAGGGCCTAAGATTATAATTGACTGCTGTAAAATACTTTCTTCTCTCAAGCATTTGGTTGCTATATATTATGATGTTTTGCAGAAGAATATATATAAGCACTGTAATCGGTCCTTGTGGTGGTTTTCCCCCCCTACAGAATGATCCAGTTCGAAAGCAGAAAGCCCTAGAATACTTGGTATGTACAAAAAGTACTTTTGCCAGGATTTGCTACGTTTTAACACTGGATTTGCACCACTGCAGAAAGAACGAATCTTGCATGAATCACTTGAAAAATTATGAATGAACTTGATCAGTAATTCCTACTTTTCAAGTCGTATTTCACCAAATCTTAAAGATTGGGCAGCTACAGTATAAATAAATCCTTTGCTGCTTGCTGTTGCCTGTAACATCATACATTAGAACTTGAATTTGAACTTCAGAGTTCAAAGAAATAGAACTTGATATCTCTGCTTTTTGTAGAGATTTTAACATTAGCTGCTAAAGTAATTTTTAATAGTGTTTAATGTCTAAAATGTTTTGCTAGGAGAATGTTCATGATTAATTATGTCCTGTAATTTGTTTAGGGAAGTGTCTTGTCTGTATTTAGAAGTTCTGAGAAGAAAAGGTTACTTAACTATTTTCTTTAAAAATAATTTGAAGAGAGGCTCAGACACCTGCTTCATCCTGCCTTTTTGGTTTTTACTGTGGTGCTCTCTGGTTGCTCTTCCACTCTTTTATGCCATTTTGCCCCATCTATATAACAGGATTCCAGAAATGTCATTCTGAATCCTAAAATGTCTGAGATAGTGTGAAGCAGTGGAAACAGCTACCAGTGTGGATGAAAAGCCCTCTTTATTTAGATTATCATCTGGTTCAATCATCACTGGGATTTGAGGTCTGTTAGCATCCAGTTTGTAAATTCTCAGCCCTTTTTTTGCTTTTTAAATCTCATTTCCTTAATTTTTTGCTTGAGTTGGTCATAGAACTTCATTTGAATCCATTTATTTTGCATCTGTTTCCCAAAACTCATGATCTCCTATGGGAAGTCGGGTTGAGTATTTGAGATAAGTGTCCTTAGTTATTGTTTGAAACTTAACCTTTTTGAATGTGTGATTATTTTTAATTTGACAGGAAACTTTTCGGGTCACCTCAGACACAGAAGCAACTCTGGTAATTAGTATTACACAAGAGCTGACTGAAGCTTTGAAGACCTTTTGTAAAAAGAAAGCAGCTGTAAGTAATTGGTCTACCTCAATGACTAGTTCCATATTGTGGTGTTCTGTTGCAAGGGTTTTCCCATTGGTTTACCCACTCCTCCCATTCATAATCATGTAACATCCCTGAAACAACTACAGCATTTGGCACAGAAATTAGGAAATAAATTTAAGTATAAGTAGCTTGGTTTTGAGAAGTTAACTGCACAGTTTTTTCTTTTTAATTTCTTTTCCACGTCCCCTTTGTCCTGTTTTTCTCCCCTCTGCATGTGTCTCTCTTCAGTTGGCCTCCTTTACCTTCTTCTGCACATGCTTACATGTTGCCTAGTTGTTCTCCCACCACACTGCTTTCCTGCCACTTGTATAGCCAAGATATAAGGGAACTAACTCAACCATTTGGTGTTTTCCCCCAAGTGACACTACTTGACTGCTTCATTCTTTTCTCCCTGGACATGTGGACAGTTCTCATTGGTGGCATGCAGCTCTGTTCCTGCTTGAGGCTTTGAGCCATGAGAACAGCTCCTGTTTCTTCTCATATAGCAGCAGACTGTAGTAGAGACAACTAGGCTGGTTGCTCTTCTGTTTTTATCTGCTTATATATAGCGACCAGTGAAAATCACGGTTCCATGAAACCGTGATAAGTTAGCCTAGTATTGCGACTTTCAACAGCAGAAAGGCGGAAGCAGGCATCCCTACTTTCTCCCTGTTGAGGCCACGGCTGCTTGTGGGGGGTTAGCAGACTGGTCCCATTCTGGAGTGGGTCAGGGAGGTGGTGGGTTGGTCCTATTCCGGGAGGGAGGGGATTGGCGGCTGGGATGGGGATGTCTCTCATTACAGGAACTCCTCAGTTAAGGTTGTAGTTATGTTCCTGAAAAATGCAACTTTAAGCAAAACTATGTTAAGCGAATCCAATTTCCCCATACGAATTAATGTAAATGAGGGGGTTAGGTTCCAGGGAAAAACTTTTCAGCAGACAAAATACTACACACACACACACACACGCGCGCGCGCGCTCTCTCTCTCTCTCTCTCTCGTTTTAAACAAACAATGTAATACTGGTACACAGTGATGATGATTGTGAAGCTTGGTTGAGGTGGAGAGGTCAGAGGATGGGATATTTCCCAGGGAATGCCTTACTGCTAAATGAACTAGCAATTGACTGAGCCCTGAAGGGTTAACTCTCACAACACTCTACAAGGCAGCAGGAAAGGAGGGAGGGCAGACAGAGAGACACACCCTGTGTGTGAGAGAAAAAATGGACATTTCCCCTTTAAGTAGCTGACCCCAGGCTTAAGTACACTGCCTTGTTAATTAAATCAGTTTGCTGAGACCTGAGACAGCAGCTACTGCCTAGAAGCTCCCTCCCTCCATCGTGTGTCCCCCCTGCTCTATGGAAGATGGGGTAAGCGGGGTGCAGGAGCAGGGGGGAGCGGGAGACACCCTGACATTAGCTCCCTTCTTCTCCCCCCCTCCTACCTCATACAGCAAGCAGGAGTCTCTGGGAGCAGCTCCAAGGCAGTGGGGGGAGGGACAGCTGCTGCACAGGGAACTTAGGGGAATGGGGAGCTGATAGGGGGCTGCTGGTCCACCCTGGTCCCTAATTGATCAGCAACTTAACATCGAAACAACATTAACCAGGACGACTTTAAGTGAGGAGTTCCTGTATATGGCTCTAGATGGTCTGGCCCAGCCAGGGGCAGAGATCAGGGCCTGGCTTATGCTGTTTGGCTCCCATCGAGGTTGTTGCTCCCTGTCTGGCTGATAGGACTGGTGGTGGGGGGGAGGAGGGCCGGCTCTGGCAACGCAGTGGTTGGGAACCTGGCCAGCCTATATACAGTGGTTCCTGCAGGCCCGAGGTGTAGACTGCAGGAGCTGAGACCAGGATCCATTCCTCCACCGTAGCCAATATCATAGCCCGTGCTGCCACTGCTTGGAACAGGAGTAGGTATGTGAGGGGCTCTGCCCTGGCAGGAGGATAGAGTGGATGAATCCTCGTCTCAGTTTCTCACCAGCTGGTGCTTCAGTTTCTTCCCAGGACTTGCAGGGGCCACGCCGAGGCTCCTAATCACTAAGCAGTAGCCTGGCCTGGAGCGGAGTGCAGAGTGAGCCAGGTTCTGATCCTTGCCCCATGCTGGGCTGGGTCAGATCAGTCAGCACCTTGTGGTGAGACCTGCTGCCTGCCTGCCATCCCTCGATTCCTTGGAATAGGACCTGCCCACCATCTCTGCTTTCCCCCCACAGGATTGGGACTGACCTGCTCCCCTCTTCCCCCCCACAAACAGCCTCCTCACTGCTGGAAGAATCGAATCAGTTTGGTTCTGGGGGGACTCAGCAGCCATGCATATCCCATGAAATTCAAACCTTCACCCATGACATTGCCATGAATATTATTTTAAAATATAACAAAGTTTTGAAAACCTGTACAGTAACTGGAGAAGGAAGAGGGGAATAAGGAAAATAATCCCTGAAGTCTTTCAAGGAAAAAAAACATTAGCACTGTCAAAACTAGAATGTATTAATACTGGCTAAATGGTTAGTATGTTTGGTTGGCTTTCATTTTGCTAGCACTAGGCACATTTTGATAAACAGGTATCATAAGGTGTTGGTGTGTATGTGTGTGAGAGAGAGCTCAAAGGCCTAACTTGTATATTTGAGATTGATTTTACTTAGATCAATGGCTAATTCAAAACTCAAGTCAAATGGGAGGAAGTTGTTACTCACATTGATAGTTGTGAGCAAAATAGGGAGCAAACTTGAGCAGCACAGCAAAACATAGGATTCATTGCTTAAAAATAGCATTACCAATGAAAATTTATTGGCATTCTATAGGAAAAGTTGCTATTTTTGAAATGTTGAAAATGAAATGTAAATGTTTAGAACAAATACAATGAGATGTGCTTTATTTCCCCTAGGTCAATTATGCCAGCAGCCTGAGGCCATTGATGTCAATATCTCAAGATGAGCTTTCAGCAGGAAAAAACATCCAAAAACCATACAAGTCTTATGAAAATTACAAAGGCAATTCAGGTACTTTGCAGGGTGTCTTTGTCAAAATATTCGTAATAAAGTGGTTTTGAATTCACAGAACATGCTATATGAGGACTTAAACTTCCGCCCAGTCATGCTACTCTGCCACTAGAATGCTGTGCTTTAGAAGTGCTCTGTGATTTCCATTTGTTGTCTGGTGCTGTTCAAGGAGTTTGGGGTTTTAATCTGTTAAATCCTTCCTGATTCTGGTAGTGACCACCTGAGGAACTGCCCATTTCATTGGGTGGTACCAAAGTAGCTGAGATTAACAGGCGGTGCTAGAGCTGTCATCTTCTGGCTTTGATGGGAGGGTTTCTTCAGTGAGGGGTCAGTCTGCCATATTGTCCAGTGAGTAGAAATAAATCTGCTGAAACCACTAAAGGGCACAGGGTAAGATGTATGCCTCTCTGCTCTAAAGTATTACTAAACTATTTTTTGGGGAGGAGGGGGAAATGTTACATATGGGTCAGCCACTACATGAAACAAATACGAGTGGTGCTGTACCAACCTATGTGTAAAGACAATGTCACAACCATCCCTTGTCTGTCCACCTGAAGAACAGTCTGATTTGTTAAAGGGAATTCTGGGACTGAAGAAAGATATAGCTGATTTCACGGCATAAGAGCAAAACTATCCCACTGCATAGGAAAGATAGGAAGCATGGCAAGAGACCACCCTGGCTTAACCAGGAGATCTTCAATGATCTAAAACTCAAAAAAGAATCCTATAAAAAGTGGAAACTAGATCAAATTACAAAGGATGAAAAGAAACAAATAACACAAGTATGTAGGGACAAAATTAGAAAGGAAAGGGCACAAAATGAGATTAAACTAGCTAGAGACATAAAAGGTAACAAGAAAACATTCTACAAATACATTAGAAGCAAGAGGAAGACCAGACAGGGTAGGCCCATTACTTAATGGTGGGGGAGGGGACGGATAACAGAAAATGTCGAAATGGCAGAAGTGCCAAATGATTTTTTTGTTTGTTTTCACTAAAAAGTTTCACTAAAAACATTTGGATATCTAACTTAGTGAATGCCAGTGAAAATGGGGTAGGATCAGAGGCTAAAATAGGGAAAGAACAAGTTAGAAATTACACCTCTACCTCGATATAACGCTGTCCTCGGGAGCCAAAAAATCTTACCGTGTTATAGGTGAAACCGCGTTATATCGAACTTGCTTTGATCCACCGGAGTGCGCAGACCCTCCCCCGGAGCACTGCTTTACCGTGTTATATCCGAATTCGTGTTATATCGGGGTAGAGGTGTACTTAGACAAGTTAAATGTTTTTAAGTCACCAGGGCCTGATGAAATACATCTTAGACTACTCAAGGAGCTGAATTAGGAGACATCTGAGCCATTAGCAATTATCTTTGAAAAGTCATAGAAGATGGGAGAGATTCCAGAGGACTGGAAAAGGTGCAAATTATAGTCCAAATCAATAAAAGGGGGACTAAAGACACCCTGGGAAATTACAGATCAGTCATCTTAACTTCAGTTCCCAGAAAGATAGTGGAGTAAATAATTAAGCATTCTGTTTGCAGACACCTAAAAGATAAAAAAATGATAAGTAACAGTCAGCATGGATTTGTCAAGAACAAATGATGTCAAACCAACCTAATAGCTTTTTTTTGACATGCTAACAAGCCTTGTGGATGGGGGAAAGTTGTAGATGTGGTATATCTTGACTTTAGTAAGGTTTTTTGATACTGTCTTGCATGACTTTCTCATAAACAAACTAGGGAAATAAAATTTAGATGGAGCTACTATAAGGTGGGTGCATAGCTGGTTGGAAAACTGTTCCCAGAGACTAGTTATCAGTGGTTCACAGTCAAGCTGGAAGGGTGCATCAAATGGGGTCCCACAGGGATTGGATTTGGGTCCAGTTCTGTTCAATATCTTCATCAATGATTTAGATAATGGCAGAGTACACTTATAAATTTTGTGGACGATACCAAGCTGGGAGGGGTTGCAAGTGCTTTGGAGGATAGGATTAAAATTCAAAATGATCTGGAGAAATGGTCTGCAGTAAATAGGATGAAATTCAGTAAGGACAAATGCAAAGTACTCCACTTAGGCAGGACCAATCAGTTGCACACATACAAAATGACTGCCTAGGAAGGAGTACTATTGGAAAAAAGATCTGGGGGTCATAGTGGATCACAGTCTAAATATGAGTCAACAGTGTAACGTTGTTGCAAATAAAGCATACATCATTCTGGGCTGCATTAGCAGGAGTGTTGTAGGCAATATACAAGAAATAATTCTTCCGCTCTACTCCGTGCTCTTTAGGCCTTAACTGGAGTATTGTGTCCTGTTCTGGGCACCACGTTTCAGGAAGGATGTGAACAAATTGAAGAAAGTCCAGAGAAGACCAACAGAAATCATTAAAGGTCTAGAAAACATGACCTATGAGGGAAGATTGAAAAAACTGGGTTTGTTTAGTCTGGAAAAGAGAAGACTGAGAGGGGACATAATAGTTTTCAAGTACATAAAAGGTTGTTACAAGGGGGAGGAAGAAAAATTGTTCTCATTAACCTCTGAGGATAGGACAAGAAGCAATGGGCTTAAATTTCAGCAAGGGCGGTTTAGGTTGGACATTAGAAAAAACTTCTTAACTGTCTGGGTAGTTAAGCACTGAAATAAATTTCCTAGAGATGTTGTGGAATCTCCGTCAGAGGAGATTTTAAGCAGGTTAGACAAACATGTCTGGGATGGTCTAGATAATACTTAGTCCTGCCTTGGGTGCAGGGTCTGACCTGGTGTGCCTGGGGCAGCCCTCACTGAACATGCCAAGGTCAGGGCAGGCTGCAAAAGGGAGAACAGGTACTCCCAAGACCAGTGGGTAACACTGAAGTTAAACTCCCCAACCAGTCACAAACTGTGCTTCTGATCCCCCACACTGGTTATCAAGAAGCAGAAAAAGAATCACACAGCCCCCTTTATTGCATTCCAGTTTTCTGGCTCCCAATCAGGACCTAGGTCCAGTACAATGAGTAGTTATTTAAAAAACTCTGCTCACATATACAAAATGTTCTTCTGACCCCAAAGGGTCAGCCACATTACCAGGTCAGTGTAGATTTGGATTTTACCCAAAATACCATGCTGCCAGCCAATCCTTTAGTGCCTAAAGCTAAAAGTTTATTATAAAGAAAAAAGAACGAGAGATGTTAAAAACAATCACATACAATTACTTCAAAGTCCATCCGGTCCCTAGGAGTATTGGTGAGTTTGCTGGCTTGAAAGTCCCTCTGGACACATCCACAACTTGGATGGGTCATTCAGTCCTTTGTTCAGAGCTTCAGAAGTTTGTAGGAAGGTTACTCCAGAGGTAAGAAGCAGGATTGAAGACATGAAGCAGGACTGAAGACAAAATGGAGAAGATGCAGCTGCCTTTTATAATGTTTTTGCCATGTGTCTGGTACTTCCTTTGTTTCAAACACACTCATAGCAGATAGCACATGACTTTGAAAGGCCTTAGAGTTCTTTCCACAGGCATGCCCCTACATGCCTTGCTGAGTCATAAGGTGTATCCCTTGCCTTCTATCAGTTGTATAGCTGATGTCCCTTAATGGGCTGTCAAACAAGCTAGGCAGTGCTAATGCCAATCTGTCTAGGTGTGTCACTCAGATGCACAGCACAAGTTTGGAACTACGGACATACCATACATATAACTTACAATACAAAGGTGATACAAACACATAAACTAGATTATCATAACCTGGCAAATTATAACATTTTTGCAGATACCTTACACGGCATATCTGGCATAAATCACTGCAATTTTACAATATTGGTATTCATAATATCCTAAAGTGTCCCCAGGATTCCATACAGCGTCACACGGGACTGGACTAGAAGACCTCTTAAGGTCCCTTCCAGTCCTGTGATTCTATAAATCAAGTGAATAAAGCAGCAAAATTTCAATGTCTGATGCATTTAATTAGCTAGAAAAAGTAAATTTGGAACTTGAAGCATTTTGGTTAAATAGCCAAAGTGAGATGGTTAATAGAAATTGGAGAAAAGTTAGAATTTTAGCAGATTCTCAAAAGCTCTGTGAAAACAGGATATTGCCTAAAGCCAAGAAGAAAGTTCTCAAAGATGAGCTGCAAAAAATCTTTTAAATCAGGCTTGTATCAATATTTTATTCATTATGTTGTAAAGGTTTTAATTTTGTAAAATTTCTTCCTTCTTTTTTTCCACTTTAAATGCAACAGCCTCCCCTTCAAAAGAACAGTGACATTCCTGATATTTCTAAGACAGAGCCCTCCTTTTTATTAGAATGTTAGTAATTTGAGTTTAAAACAGATGCTAACAACTCTTGGAGTTTTACCACTGACTTCAGTGGGAGCAGTTAGGCCAGCTCTGAGCACTTTTGGAAATCCAGTCCCCAAATATGTAGGCCTCTGTAAATACCTCACTGAGGAAGCAGATTCTGCAAACAATAGAAAGGCTGAGCACTGAAAATCTCCATCATAATTACTTTAAATATTTTTGGCATTCAAGTTTCTAAACTGGCCTTAAGTGACATGAGAAAAGTAAACCTTACATAGTGTTGTGTTAGTTTCACCTACTCCCTACTTAGGTCAGTCTTGGACGTACATTCTAAACGTGGTGGCTGAGAGGCAGACTTAAAAAAAGAAAAAAAAAAACTTGTTTGTTTTTTTTACCTGCAGTGTCTTCAGATTAGAACTGTTTTTCAGGCAGTTTAACATTTGTGTTATCCTTCATTTGAGCACACTACTGTTAATTGGTGAGGCACACAGTCACATCTTATTTTCATGGATTAGCGTCTTTTTTGTTTGTTTGTTTTTGGACTAGTTCAGGGGTGGGCAAACTTTTTGGGCCGAGGGCCACATCTGGGTGGGGAAATTGTATTCAGGGCCGGGGCAGGGGTGTGGGAGGGGGTGCGGTGTGCAGGAAGGGGCTCAGGGCAAGGGATTGGAGCAGAGGAGGGGTGCGGGGTGTATGAGGAGGCTCAGGGAAGGGAGTTTGGGTGCAGGAGGGGTGCGGACTGTGGGAGGGGGCTTGGCAGGGGGTTGGGGTGCAGGAGGGGGCTTGGCAGGGGGCTCGGAAGGGGTTTGGGGTACACAGGGGTGCAGGGTGCAGCAGGGAGCTCAGGGCAGGGGGTTGGGGTGCAGGAGGGGTGTGGACTGCAGGAGGGGGCTCAGGGCAGGGGGTTGGGGTGCGGGGTGTACAAGGGGGCTCAGGGCAGGGAGTTGGGGTACAGGAGGGGTGCGAGGTGCAGGCAGGGGGCTTAGGGCAGGGAGTTGGGGTGGCGGGGTGCAGGAGGGATTCAGGCTTCATGGGGTTAGTTAAAGTTTGACCAACTTCTTCTGCTGATGGCCTGTCATTTTATTTAGGTTTACTTGCATGTGTCTTTTCAGGAAATACTAACTGGAATCAAGATTTTTCATCTCAAAGACCTGAACAGGAACAATTTACATCACAATTGGATGCAGACACTTCATTCACCATTGCCAGTTCATATAGTTACCAAACAGGTGATGGATCATCCTCATATGGACTAAAACCTAATGATTCTGCAACAATGGCTGCACTCAGTAATTCATTTGCCCTTCAGACGGGAGGCTTTGCTACTGGAATCAATGAATGGCTGAAGCAATTCAACCAATCTGCTTCTGTATCCTCCCAGTCCACTTCAGTTGGAGGCACCTCTCCCTACTTCACATATTCAGGGAGTGGGTATTCAACAGAATACAAGTCTAATAGTGCCCAAGGAAACAAAACTACAGCACCTGATAACAGAATGGCTTATGGTGTTGGAGGTACAAATTGGAAGAGTCAAAGAGCATTTACAAATACAAGGAATTTACCTGACCAGAGATCATCCTATTCTGCTTCCTCTGCTACATATCCTTCATCTGGAGGATATTCGACAAACTACCCTTTACAAGGCTGTTCATCTTACTACGGAGGTGGGTCTTCAAATTCCACTTCTTCATCAAGAGGTGGTTCTAGTTGGTCAGAAGAATCAAGATATCAGAAATCAGATTTCAAGACTGATTCGGCCTCATTTCGTTCCTCCTCTTCTGTCCACAATTCATACAGAGATTACCAACAACAAAACAGAGAGTCAGATAAGATGTTTGATGAAGATGCCAGTGGTCTTACTCCCAACATTCTGCATAGACTTCAAGGAAAGGATGTACCTACAATGACCAGAATGCTCAAGCAGCTGACTCCATATTATCCAGCACTTCAAAGTAAGATTGTGAAGATTTTAACCTTAGTAAAGCCTTGTTGGCCTAGTTTGTAGTGTGAAGTGCTATGAAGCAGTAGTCAAAGGTTCAAACTATGCAGAGGGCTGAGGTGGCTTGTTCAGTTGTGAGGGTTGCTTTTGGGTTGACTTCCCTCAACAGCACATTTGCAGCTCAAGATTGGCATTAATATTGCTCTGAAGGGAGCTTAGCTTAACTCTTCTGAGGACTGATAGAATTGTTTTGGTGATGTGGTTGTGGGAAAGTGATGTTATGAAATGGGAGAGAATCCTACCTAATTGGGAGGGAGGAGGAAGAGCTTTGGTCTGGGCCGTCTGGCTGTCCAGGTTCCAAATTTCATGAAGCAGCCAGTGTGCTTCAGACTCCAGCAAATAGTACCACAAGGGTGGCTGCTAAAGAGAGACTGAGTACAAATAACTGGGTTGGGGGAAATCTAGCATTGGAGATAATAGTAGAGAGACATGCAAAACGTGTGTCGAACACACTTGGGGATAATTTTTTTAATAGTAAAATATTTAAACGGCCAGTTTGATATTGATTCTGACTGCTGTTATGAGACGGTAATTTGTCAATTATTTTGCATTGATATCTACACAAATAAGCATTATGAATTGCAGTTTGTTTTAAATAGTAGAAAAATATTCCATTTTAAGAAATGTATTTCTAGAACATTTAAGGCAGAACTGAATTATTATATAACTGGGCCATCATTATGTTGGTGAATTTGCCGGACAGATAATGCAAATTATTCTACTATATTAGAATTAGGAAAGTTAGTTAAGGGAATTAGGAAAGCTAAATCTTTAATTTTTAACATGGTATCTGCTATATGCATTTATGCAAAGTTGCATAAAAATGAACAAATAATTTAAAAAATTTTTTTTTCTTTTTTTCCTTCACCAGAAATCAATATTGAAACATTAGTCAAAGCATTAATTAAAACTAGAGAAATAAATTAAGAAGATAAAACAGCTGAACTGGAACTGATGAACAGAACACTGAAGAATCTTCACTTCAAGTTTTTAGGAAACAAACTCAACAGTTTAGTTTTGGATGTGGTTTTTTTGGTTTTGTTTTTGTTTTTTGTGGAAGGGGATAGGGTTTATGTTTTTAGTACAGTAAAAATGTAGTTGGAGCACAAATTATTGTCATGGAGATTAATATACTGTTCAGGTATTTTTATGCATTTGTTAAATATTTTTAGTAGATTGCACTGGAAACTCTTCGTTTTTGAGGGGCTGGTTAATATTAATCACCCTTTTCCAAAAAGTTTTTGTATGTTACAATCCATTTAGGAAGAATATTCACTGAAAATAGAGTTCCATTGCATGAAAAATACAGAAATGCATTACTTCACATATAAACCAATGGCCAGTTCTTCTAATTTTAGACTTTATAACGAGTTAGGATACTTTTTAGAAGTGACTATACTGAATTTCTTTTTGGAACACATTAAAATGATGGGCCCTAAACAAAATGTTTCTCCTCCTGTGGACTTAAAATGTGCTCTTAAATAATAAAATGCAAACACTTGTTAGTGGAAAAACTTAACCAATTTTATTTTTAATTTGTAAAAATGCGCACACATATGGAAATACAACCAGAATTCTATTGTATAGAATAGCATTCTGCATTTTCAATTTTTATTTGTAAAAATAATAATCGGGGCATTTTGCAGTGTTTATTTTCCAAACATTAAAACCAGAATGAAATTGGGTTAAAATTTAAAAAATAGAAAAATTGGGGGAGGGGGGGAAGAGGAAAAAAAGCCTTTGTAATATACACATTTTACTACAGTATAAACTTTTTTTAATGTACAAAGGGATATTTTGTGTGTCTCAGAGCTAGTAGTTTTTCCAGGTATCCTGGTTTGCATATGCTCGCATAATTTTCTCCTAAGTATGCTCACTCATATTGAGCCTCTTGCTGTCTCGGAGGTAATCCAACTTTGAAAGTGTGCACTCTGCATCAATAAATCCAGGGGTACACTCCAAGCTCGCAGTGCTACTTTGCTGAAGTTGGGAAGTATGTCTTGATGACTGTTCCAAAAAGCCCACACATCCCGTTTCGCATTGTCAGGATTAGGCAAGTTCATGTAAAGAGTAAATTCCCCTTTCAGATTTGAAATCTTATCTTTAGTGGCAAATGGTTCAAACGCTCTGGCATAATGGTCATAGTTTGCTGCAAAATTCACCTTGAGGAAGGGGTGCAACAGCTGGATGACATTCCAAAAAGAATCTTCGGCACCAAACACTTTGGGGTTCAGATTATGGGTCATGGGCGTCTCCCATTTCTCACTGAGCATTGTGTTGACGGTTTTGAATGCTTTTTTGGTTTTCTTGTGTTCTGGGGTCAGAAGGATTTCCAGAAATGGCTGAGTTTTTTCATCATATGTTTCTCCTGCACCTTTTGTGTTCAGTTCAGCTGAGATTTTGGTTGTCAGGATCCAGTAAACCTCTGTATTGGCAGTAGTCTGAGAAACACAGAAAACACTGGAATTATCACACAATGATTCCAAGTTTTCAACAATGAATATTACCTTGGTGCGCAGAATCTGGCAGTCATTCTGGTTATTTGCCAGTCTCTTCAGAGTTTCTGCTTTAGAACCATCAATCTCGGGATGATCTAGAGACGCATTAGCACAATCCACGCATTATTTATATGACCGGCAGTGAAGTACAAGCTCTTCCACCAATGTGGCACAACACTGGTAGGTAATCAGCAGTCAGCTCTGCACTCATCTTGCACTGTGTAAAACAAAACCTTCAGCTTGTCTGCATGCTTGAAAGTGGCCCCGAATCCAGTGATGGAAGATTTCAACTCTTTCATTTCTTCTGTAGCAGTGGCTGCTTACAGCGCAACATTAATCAGATGAACAGGACAGGTAATATGTCGCTGCTCCGGTTTTTGAGTCAGTTTAATCTCCCATGCAAACTTAACCATCTAGGAAGCAGAATCTGTGTTAGTTGTGATGGGCTTAGTTGGTTAGTTGGTACGTATCAAACATGTCAGTTATTGCTGCGTCGACAAAATGGGTGGCAGCAAATGGAATGAATGTCACATGAGCACAAAACAATTTTCCTTTGTTTTCGTTTTTTGATTTCAATCCGATGGTCCAACACATCAGGAGACTCGTCACAAATAAGACTAGCAACCACTTTGCCATCAGTTTACATGCTAATGCATCGCCATTTTCTTTCAGATACGTATGAGTGAGGATGTCTGCATTAGGAAGGGCTTTTGCTGCTGGACAGTATTGTGACACGGTCACCAATAGGCCCTTCTGCAATTAACTAATTGTCCAGCAAAACAAAGAGCGCGCACACACACTCATTGACACAATCATACTTCGTTCTCTTTCATTAAAGCTCTAGTGAAAGCTCCTGATATTGACTGTTTATCCCAAAGCTCACCACCTTCTTCAAGCTTCTTGTGTTGCTTGCTTTCGACATCCTCCTTTATTCTGTCAGCATGAACACTAACCTCAGTGCTGCAGTACTCGCAGTGTAATGCATCCTCTTCACTCCCCTCTTTACTTTTCTTGAAAATTTCTAAGCACTGATTTTTCCTGCTGGTTTTCAGGCATAGATTTGCGTTTTCACCCCATGTTTCCCTTTTTACCTTATCTTTATCTGTGAAGGATTGATTGTTTAAATTCAGTGCCACACTAAACAGATGCAAAGAAATAGGTGGGCAGTGTCTCCTTGTGAGCCAATAATAGTGTGCTATTAACATTGTCAGTTTTTCCGATCTCTACCCTGTGCGTGTTCTGTGTTTTACACTACGGAATTGCTTTAATCTCAGCACTGCAGGACACAACAATCATGTAAAGTGTTAGTGTTTAACAAAGTAAGTACCCCAAAAAAATAGTCGATTGATAAATGGGTGTAAATCAGTAAAAACTGAACTACTTTTTAATTAAAAAAAAAAAAAAAACTGGTAATGGTGAAAATCAGTGAAAACCTGAAAACGCAGAACAGCAAGAATGAGACAGTTACAAATCATCATGAGGCCTAGAACGACCTACTTAAGTCAGCACCAGCCATGTTAAGACAGGTTTCAGAGTAGCAGCTGTGTTAGTCAAGACAATTGGTGAGTCACACCAGAATAGAAATTCTTCCTTCGTTTCATTATCAAAAACAAACTAGGAAATATTGGAACCTGTATGAAATCCAATATAAGTATTGGGGTAAAGTTCAAATATAAAAAAAAATCACAAACTTAAAAATTAAGGTAACACTTTTCAATTCATAATTACATTGAGGTTCTGATTTCTCTCCCTCCCCTCCTGTGGTGCCGAAATCCAACTTCATTAAGAGTTATGAATGCACAGTATCTATTTTTTTTTTTTTTTTAAAGCCAGGCTCTAGATGTCCAATTATAAACTATGAGCAAAGTTTTATCAAGTCTAACATGAGATTAAAGATCTTAGATACAGAATTAAAAAGGGACTAGGACAGCTAATTATAAAGATCCGTTCTGTTCAGTGCCTTTGAGGAAATTGTATTCTGTGTTGTAATGCAGACAGTGTAATTTTCTTTACTTACCCACTTTTGTGATGCATTTCACTTTCTGCATTAAATCCCAGTGGTGCTGCAAAACCATCGCTAGCTTCATCCTAGGCTTGCATGAGATGTCATATTGCTTCCCACTAATATCTTTTATACTCAATTATAGAATATTGTACAGTTTTGTCTGATGCATTTCTTAACACATGCTACAAATGAACTGATTATAGTTCCTTTAAACTTTACCCTCAAGCTCTTCTCTCGGAAGCTTAAATATTTTGCTTGTGGGTCAGCTGGTAGTTGGCATCGGAGATCCAGTTTTTCCTCCCCCCCACCCCCCTCTAGTTGTAATAATTGAAAGATTCCAAGTTGTTTTAATAATTCAGGCTGTATGGTTATTGCTAGATACCTGTATGGACAAGTTATAGACAAAATGAACTCTTGGAGAGGAAATAAGGAGGCTTATCCTTTTAACTGTGTCTTCAGTGAGTATCAAGGTTTCTTTTTTGAAAAAGTGTAGAAGTGGTAGCTGTTGTCCTAGATGAGTGCAGAAAGCATAGTAAAAAGGGTAGACTATAACCAAAGTAATGTTACTGCAGCTTTTTTAGGGCTGTACTGAGGAGCTTGTATCTTTTGAACTGGTATTTAATTGGCAGCCATAGCTGTGTAGGGAAGAGTAGGGATGACATACTGCAGCTTTCACTGAATTGGAGAACATAATGAACACTAACCTGGCCAAGATGGCAGACTACTGTAGCAGTTGGCATCTCCAACCAAAAGTGACCAAGACAGTGTTAGGTGAGTTACACAACACAAGCAACCTTAACAGAAAACAGAAAACTGGTCTGCCCTGGTGTCACACTGGACTGCTCTGATTTACTGTGACCATCTAAAAAAGACTGGTGCCAAAATCAGGACTAGGAATAATCTAATCAGCAAATTAGCCAGTTCAACTTGGAGCATAGCTCTGGAACTGTGCTATTCCTCAGTGAAATACTGTGCCCCTGGGTGGAGTCATTCACCTGTCACTAAATTGGTCGATGTTGAATTGGACTCTACCATGTGCATCATCACAGGTCTCTGTAGCCGCTCCTATTCCATGGCTACCAGTTCTGAGCAACTAGCTCCTCCTACCTCCTCTCTTCGTTGCAGAGAGTTTACAGCTGGACTGGTGGAAAAGCAACACGCCAATCCAGTTCTCCTACTGTACATGGACATCTTCAGTCACCCCACACCACGATTTACATTGAGACATCCATTGTGGGCTCTAATGCCAGATTGGAATCTGTTAGCAGCAGTCCTATGGCACAATGATTTGTCAGCTAAAGACATTTGGAATGGTTTCCTTGTCGCTGATCCAACCGTTCGACCATCGGGATTTGACCTGCCACGTCAGCTGTGGACTCTGCTGAACACTGGCCAAGGAATACGTGCAGCCCTTCTCTACACGAGGTCTGTGCAATGACCCACTTTGTCAGTGGCACATGTTGTTGTCAATGAGTGCTAATTACCCAGACTTCAGTGTGGCTTAAGGCCTTTCATTCTGGTGATGAAGCTGCTGTCGGGTGGCTCCACAAGCACTGCAAACACTAGAAGAACTGCAGCTGTTGCTTCGTCCTTTGGCTCAGCCCCCTCACCTGCTGGGGTGAAAAGTATTGGAGGAGGCAACCTCCCTGCTCCCCTTCTCTCCCCCTCCAGGGCACTTGAGGAGCCCAAGAATAGGGGGCTATAGACCCCCCACACCAAGGAAAAGTATGGGACCCACCACACTAGCATTGGCCATTTGCCACATACTGCATTAAAAATTAAACTGACTCACTCAGATACTCTAACACAGCTAAAACAAGCCCTAACTTTCTTCCCAATTTCATCTGTACACTTCCAAGTTGTTTTTTTAACTTCATGGACTGAAAGTACTTTCTTCTTCCTTGCCCACAAGTCCCGCCCTTCTGCCTGCCCGTGGTGGTGATCTTTCCTATATTTCCAAATTATCCTTTCTATTAATCTAGTCTGCCGCTGCTGCATCTTTTGTTCTGATCATCCTGGGGTTTATATACCTCCCATCTATCACTCTCCTGCTGCCCTCTGACCCTGCTGTATCACATATTCTGCCCCCCACCCCACCCGGCTGAACACCCTGGGGTTGGGCTAGTTGGGACAAGAGGCAGTGCTGTCAAGACAGGCCGTCAGTGTTGC